GATAGCTTGCATCTTGATGTTGCAATTGTAATCGCCATAATAGTAGCATAATAATCAAAGGCACTTTTATTATTTATTCATAATCTTTTATTATTATTATCTTATGCTGTAAGTAGGATCGCCAAATCTAATACCAACATTTCATGTTTATTAAGAAAAATAATTTGGTTGAATTAAATAGTAATTCTGGTTTAAAATGAACATATCATTTTCTAAATTTTGAAGAAGATGTTTTAAATCTACCAGAATTCTAATTGAGATGACTAGAGTTCTGATTGATGTAATTATTCTGATAAAAAAAAATTTGCCCTGGTTTTTTGGATTTTTTGTTATTCTGGTAGAAATAAAGAATTTTAATAGATTTTATCAGAAATATTATATCAACCAGAATTCCGGTTATCTCAATTAGAATTCTAATTTTAATCAAAAAATTGTAATTCATCCATTTTCAATCAAGAATTTTTTGATAGTTGAAAAATGGATAATTAAAGTATTTGAGTTAAATTTCCAGTTAGTATTATTCTCACGTAAATTATAAATCGTAAATTAAAAATTTAACTCAAACACTTCGACGGTATTCATAGTCTTATATTCAAGATCGTATTATAAGTACAGTCTTAAGAAGTTACGAACCAATCAGAGGGCCATATTAACGTCTTAAGATATTACTTAAGACAGTCTTGAAATAAAAACAAACTATGAATACCATCCTTTGACTATGAATATCGTCTTAGACATGTTCCGGAAATGTTGGTATTACATTTGACAACTCTATCTGTAAGTCAGACTTGATAACACTTGTACTATTTTGGCAGTCTATCATGCAATTTTTCAGACATTTGAATCGCGCGATGAATGATTAGCGAACTATGTTTTTCGTAAATTTTTTTATTTATATTAGAGTTTCCAAAAAATTTTAGCCTTTTTTTATACCAGGGTTAAAAAAAAACCTAGTCAAGTGGGCTTTTTATTTTTTAGTTTTTCTCAAATTTTATGCATTTGCATTTTTTATGGCTATTTTTTATTTAATTTATTTTTTGACAAAAAATTATTCCATCATGTATGAGGTTTAAAATATAAATACAGGTTAAAATATTCGTTACATACTGTAGATTTTTTGTAAATTTGCCCAAAAAAATAAATGAAATTTTTAACTATAATTAATATTTGAAGAAGGATTATAAATTAAAACAAAAATAAATTAAATTAAACAAATTTTTTAATTTTCTAAAAAAATCTAAAAAAAGTAGATTTTATAATGTATCGTATATTATAAGGTCTCAAAATATTTATCATTTATTGTAAATTTTTTTGAGAATTTTTTCAAGGAAATAACGTTTTTGAGAAATTGTAAAAGTACATTAATATAATTTAATAAATAGTTGAAAGAAAAATTGCGCATAAATTT